CAGCAGTGCTGTCCTAGCAGTGCAGGGCAACCTGGAGGGAACTGGTGCTGTCCTCCGGTTCCTGATGGCAGGCTGGTAAGTTACCGCATCCTTTGCTGGCCCTGCCTCTCTTTAACAAATGAGTCAGCAATCCTTGCCTCTTGTGGGGACTCCACCCACCTGTCAAATTGTGCGCAGGAGGCAGATCTTGATAAGGATCTGGCCCATGGAGCCCAAATGGTTCCATGCTTCTGGTCCTAGACCAGTGGTAGAGGGGGAACCTGAGGTCCTCCTGATGTTACTGGACTGCAGCTGTCAACATTCGTGACAATAAGCCATTCTGGCTAGGGCTGATGAAAGCTGTAGCTGAGCAATATTTGAATGGCCACATGTTCCCCAGCTCTGGCCCTAGACCACAGGTGGGGACCCCTAGTCTGTGATCCTGTGGTGGCCTATCATGCCTTTTAGATCTTCCCTAGAACCTTGTGTTCTCCATCCCCAGAAGAAAAGGGTTTTTTCTCAGCCTAACTGTTGGAGAGAGAGAAAGGAATAGAGGAAAGAGAAAATGGGTTGCTGACTGCTAGCTTTGACCCTGAAAGAAATTTTGCCTGGGGCAATGAAGCCCATGGCATAATTTCCGCTAGTCATTATCCAGTGCTTTCTGGGGAAGCTAGAAGTTTCATGCTTTGTTTGGACACCTATTATATACATAGGATTTGTTGTTGTTGTTTAGTCGTGTCCGACTCTTCGTGACCCCATGGACCAGAGCACGCCAAGCACTTCTGTCTTCCACTGCCTCCCGCAGTTTAGTCAAACTCATGCTGGTAGCTTCGAGAACACTGTCCAACCATCTCGTCCTCTGTCGTCCCCTTCTCCTTGTGCCCTCCATCTTTCCAACATCAGGGTCTTTTCCAGGGAGTCTTCTCTTCTCATGAGGTGGCCAAAGTATTGGAACCTCAGCTTCAGGATCTGTCCTTCCAGTGAGCACTCAGGGCTGATTTCCTTCAGAATGGATGGGTTTGATCTTCTTGCAGTCCATGGGACTCTCAAGAGTCTCCTCCAGCACCATAATTCAAAAGCATCAATTCTTCGGCGATCAGCCTTTTTTATGGTCCAGCTCTCACTTCCATACATCACTACTGGGAAATACATAGGATTTAGATATATATATTTTTAATGACCTGTACATGTGATCTCTCTCTCCTTCTCCCTCAACCCCTAGTCCCCTAGTGCTGGGTAACCTCTGGGATGTAACTGACCGAGACATCGATCGCTACATGGAAGCACTTCTGAAGAACTGGCTCAAGGCAGGTTCAGGAGCTCCATTCCTCCAATATGTCATACAGTCCCGCCATGCTCCCAGACTCAAATATATGATTGGTGCTGCCCCAATAGCCTATGGCTTACCAGTGTCTCTGCAGTAGAAAACAGGGAAAAAGCATGCTACCTGGTTTCTGGTGGGAGGGATTTGAAAGGACCCAAATTACTATTTTTTTTGTTGTAAACGCTGAACTGCCTTAAATGGAAACTGCTGCTGGGGAGAAGGATAAAATATCTGGCCTTATGCAAGCTGGGTTGGTCACCAACTACCTTGCCTGACCTTCAGTGGAAAGTCTGCACTGCCTTTACACGGGATGCTCCTAGTTAAGCTGCTGCTCTTTGCAATATGTAGCGTTTGCACAGTGTACAGTTTGCATTTCCAGTGTTTGATTAAGTTATTTTAAAATTGATTTGTATTTTAATGTTTCAAAGCCTGAATAAAAGTTATAACAAATAAAGTGTGTGTTGGTTTGGCAGAGGGGGCTAAGCTTGGAACAGGTACCAAAAATCTAGTGCTGGCTGATGATTCCTGGAAGTCTTTCTAAAATCGAACATGGATTTACCATTCTAGCACTTGGCCGTGCTGGTTGAATATTCTGTTCTGGTTTGACCCAAGCAGCTAGTGCATCCTGTCTATCTTCTCTTGTGGGTTTATAATACCCCCACACCATCTTCTCCTTACCCCCTCATCATGATGAGCAGAACAGGAGAATTACACTGAACAGTTGCATAACTCGCACAGGTTCCCACATTAAGTCATAATCTGGGTTATCTTGGTGCAGAACCTTTTAAAGAATACTAACCTTAGGCACGGTTTTGTCTACAGAATTAGGAGCACAGAGCTGTATAGACACCTCCTAGATTTATTGTAGGTGTGCCCCAGACCACCAGAGAAACCAAGCTGCTTCATTTCAAAAGCTCTAGAATAAATGTATTTTTCTCAGCAGATAGTTAGGCACTTCCAGATTTTGCTTTACAAATTGAGCGCCCTTGATAGTCCCCAGGTTTTGCACTAGGATATTCAATAATTTTGTGCTATGTAACCTTCTGTTACAAGTGATTTAGTAGTTACCTGCACACAGACAAGGACCAGGAAACAAAAATTGCTCCCCATCACCACCATTAGGAATGCAACTTGCATCCCACAGAGATGTGTGATATTTTTACTATAGCCACAACATGTGTGGGATGTTTGGAAAGAATGTTGGATGTCTGGAAGAATAATGAAGGTGATTCTTTTCTCTCATGTATCACAGTAATCAAATGTCTTGTGTTCGATTTTGATATGAATTTAAATGCTACTTTCGTTGATGAGGGTTAGTAGTTACAGGGTGAAGAATAGTTCTGGAGCTTATCACCAGAACCATCCTCGAATGTCAGAGGCATGCAAAGTGTGTGTGTTAAAACCCTGATACCCTCCATATGAGGGCATCCATTCTCTATGATCACTGGTCACACTGGCTGGGGTCGAAGGGAGTTGTAATCCAAAAACATCTGGAGGACACCAGCTTGGGAAAGGCTGTTGTATTATGGATTGTACTGCTTAAGGTAAAGGTACCCCTGCCCGTATGGGCCAGTCTTGACAGACTCTAGGGTTGTGCGCCCATCTCACTCTATAGGCCGGGGGCCAGCGCTGTCCGAAGACACTTCCGGGTCACGTGGCCAGTGTGACAAGCTGCATCTGGCGAGCCAGCACAGCACACAGAACGCCGTTTACCTTCCCGCCAGTAAGTGGTCCCTATTTATCTACTTGCACCCGGGGGTGCTTTCGAACTGCTAGGTTGGCAGGCGCTGGGACCGAGCAGCGGGAGCGCACCCCGCCGCGGGGATTCGAACCGCCAACCTTTCGATCGGCAAGCCCTAGGCGCTGAGGCTTTTACCCACAGCGCCACCCGCGTCCCTATTGTACTGCTTACCTTAAGCTATAAATGACAGGTTATATTACATGCAGTTATATTACAATGCATCTCAAAGCTGAGCTTCAGTCAACACCAAACCACCTCCCGAAATGGATATACTAAAGTATTAACCTCTCTAGGATCTCAGTACATGAAAAGTCATTTTATTTCCCTGCCCCTGTTCATATTTGTATTGCTTGGTTTTAATTTTTTCCCTTTGGCAGTTCCTGGAGGGTTGGCATAGATAAAATGAGATTTTGCACCCTACAACTATGTTCTTACAAATAGGCTTCATTGAACACAACTAAAACCACCTTTTACAGTTAAGATGATGGAAAAAACCTCCAACTCATGCAGCAACTAGTTGCCCAAGGGCCTCCTGATTTGATTATTCAGATTCTGGGTCATAAATAGTGGGTTTTCTCCACGAGTTAAGAGAAAATATACAGGCACTGGTGTAAAAATCAGAAGCGGGCAGGCCTAGAAACTCCCTACGATGACAATGCTTTGAAACATGCATGCCTGCCTCGTCCCAAAAGAAACGAGCTTAAGATGACTTTTTTTAAAAAGGCATTTTTGAAATGCCCCATGGCAAGGAAAAATTCAAGTGTGTCTTACAGGTTCCATTTATGCCAGTGTTTTGAAAGCACTGTCCTGTAGAAAACAAAATACACAATGGTTTAAAAAAATGCATGGGTGCTGTTAGTTTGCCATTAAAGTTTGAATCACAAACAAGAATAGTCGCACCACCCCATCATGAAGAAACAGTGCTGTGGCATTTCTTCCTGTTGTTGTTTAGTTGTGTCCGGCTCTTTGTGACCCCATGGACCAGAGCACGCCAGGCACTCCTGTCCTCCACTGCCTCCCGCAGTTTGGTCAAACTCATGCTGGTAGCTTCGAGAACACTGTCCAACCATCTTGTCCTTTGTCGTCCCCTTCTCCTTGTGCCCTCCATCTTTCCCAACACCAGGGTCTTTTCCAGGGAGTCTTCTCATGAGGTGGCCAAAGTATTGGAGCTTCAGCTTCAGGATCTGTCCTTCCAGTGAGCACTCAGGGCTGATTTCCCTAAGAATGGATAGGTTTGATCTTCTTGCAGTCCATGGGACTCTCCTCCAGCAGCATCATTCAAAAGCATCCATTCTTCGGCGATCAGCCTTCTTTATGGTCCAGCTCTCACTTCCATACATCACTACTGGGAAAACCATAGCATTAACTATACGGACCTTTGTCGGCAAGGTGATGTCTCTGCTTTTTAAGATGCTGTCTAGGTTTGTCATTGCTTTCCTCCCAAGAAGCAGGCGTCTTTTAATTTCGTGGCTGCTGTCACCATCTGCAGTGATCATGGAGCCCAAGAAAGTAAAATCTATCACTGCCTCCATTTCTTCCCCTTCTATTTGCCAGGAGGTGATGGGACCAGTGGCCATGATCTGCCTGTTATGCAGCCTTTTTTAGAGTGTCAACTCCTCTCCCTTTTATCTGCAAAGTCACAAGCTCCTGCCCCAGTCTCCCCTTCGACTGATTTTAACAAAAATTAAGAAACAGGTTCGTCCCACGGAGCAAAACAACACTGAGCCGAATCACGAATCACCCGGCCGGGCCTGGAGCAGCCAGCGCTCCGTTTGACATCCTTACATAAATTCTCTATGTAGCCTCCTCGCCACTCTCGCCCCTCAGGAGAAGGACGCCGACATGCAACCGGAAGTGAGTGCGGCGTGCGGCATTGCCGGCTGGCTCTTCCCTCTTTGGCCGTTGCTAGGGAGGCGGGCGGAGCTTCCGGTAGGTGCCGAGTCCCAATAGGCGGACTGATCATAGACTCCGCCGGCTGGAGAGGCGCCTTTCCCCCCTCGCCTCCCAAGATGGCGCAGCAGGTGAACATCACGGAGCTTTCGCTGCCGCAACTGGAGGTGCTGAAGAACCAGCTGGACCAGGTGAGGGAACGAGCCTTAGCGACTGGGGGCGAGAGGGTCGGGTGGGGAATGAACGGCCGGCCGCTTCCCGCTCAAACTAGGCTGAGGCGGGAGAGGGAGGCTGGGCGGCCGCGCCTAAGGCAGCCAAGGGGTAGGAAATGAATCGGGGATTTAAGGCAGAGATGGGGAACCTGGGCTTCCCTCTCCCCGCCCCACAAAAAAAACACCCCACTTTCCAAGGCTCCGCTGGACTGCGACTCCCATCAGCCCCACGTAGCATGGCCAATGGTCGGGGGTGATGGGAGTTGGAGTCCCAACCGCCAGGTTCCCCACACTCGATTTAAGGCATTTTTGAAATGCCCCATGACAAGGGAAAATTCAAGTGTGTCTTACAGGTTCCATTTATGCCAGTGTTTTGAAAGCAGTGTGTCCTGTAGAAAACAAAATACAGTGGTACCTCAGGTTACATACGCTTCAGGTTACAGACTCCGCTAACCCAGAAATAGTGCTTCAGGTTAAGAACTTTGCTTCAGGATGAGAACAGAAATCAGGCTCCGGCAGCGCAGCGGCAGCTGGAGGCCCCATTAGCTAAAGTGGTGCTTCAGGTTAAGAACAGTTTCAGGTTAAGAACAGACCTCCGGAACGAATTAAATACTTAACCTGAGGTACCACTGTACATAATGGTTTTAAAAAATGCATGGGTGCTGTTAATTTGCCATTAAAGTTTGGGTCACAATTCAAACAAGAATAATCGCACCACCCCATCAAAAAAGGCCAATGCTATCCTAGGCCGCCTCCGCGGAAATATAGTGCCCCGGGGATCAAGGGAAGTCATTGGATTGCTCTTATTCTGCCTTGGGTCAGACCACGCCTGGAAGAGCTGTGTCCGATTCCGGGCACAACAGTTTAAGAAAGATGCTTAGAATCAAAGGAGGGCAAATCTAGACGATCGAGGGTCTTGCAAAATGAGGAATGGTTGAGGGGGGGTATGTTTAACCTGGAAAGAAGAGACCGAGAGGAGTTAGGATTGCCACCTTCAAATATGTCAAGGGCTGTCACATGGAGCGAGCTTGCTCCAGAGGCCACAACCTGAAGCAACGGATTCAAGTTACGAGAAAGGAGATTCCTACTAAACATCAGGAAGTAATTTCTGACAGCTAAGAGTTGTTCGATAGTGGAAGGGACTCCCTTGGGAAGTTGTGGGTGCCCCTTCCTTGGAGGTTTTTGATCTGTCATAGACGCTTTATTTGAGATTCCTGTGTTGCAGGGGTTGGACTAGATGACCCTTTGAGTTCGTTTCAACTCTACAATTCTATGATACATGGAAGTATATTCCACAGGACTCAGTGGGGGCATGCTCCCCAGTCAGTGTGGATGAGGATGCAGCTTGGCCTCCTTTCTGCAAGGTCTCCAGTGGAAGGGGGAAGGGCCAGAATCAAGGCTTGGGGGTGGGAAGAGAAAGCTAAATTCTTCAGTTGAGCAGCATTTAGTGGACGCCTCTGAGCTTCCTGCCTCATCATCCTGTGAAGCTCAGGATCTGAGTCCCAGGGGCTCTGGGTATCCCTACTCTCAGGAGGGGATGTGGGTGGCGCTGTGGGTTAAACCACAGAGCCTAGGAAGGTCGGTGGTTCGAATCCCCGTGACGGGGTGAGCTCCCATTGTTCGGTCCCTGCTCCTGCCAACCTAGCAGTTCGAAAGCACGTCAAAGTGCAAGTAGATAAATAGGTACCGCTCCGGTGGGAAGGTAAACAGCGTTTCCGTGCGCTGCTCTGGTTCGCCAGAAGCGGCTTAGTCATGCTGGCCACATGACCCAGAAGCTGTACGCCGGCTCCCTCGGCCAATAAAGCGAGATGAGCACCGCAACCCTAGAGTCGGCCATGACTGGACCTAATGGTCAGGGGTCCCTTTACCTTTACCTTACTCTCAGGAGTACCATACTGCTTTTGAAGTGGAGGGCTTTGAGTAAGATTGGATCTCCATGAACTTTAGATTTTTTAGTAACCTACCTACCTCTTTCCTGTGGAGATTCAATCCTTTGCAAATATTTGCGTAGTACATGCATGTTTTCTTTTTTTATCACTTCCTTGACCTGGTTTGTGATGCTATGGGAAGATCAGGTAGCCTCAGTCTTCATTGTCTTCTGCACTTCAGTAATCCTTTCAACATTTTGATGTTATCCTCCTGTTAAGAGATTGGGAAGTGAGGGATGAATCACTCCCCTCACTTTGTAGTCTTTCCCCTCCTCCAAGTGATTGCAGAACTTTGTGAGTGTCCTCCAACGCTTACATGGCTTTTTGATGGGAGCAGTTGGTGTTTCATTGAAGCAATATCCCACCATTACTAGAGTAATGTTTGTAGTACTTATAGTAGAATAGTGGCCCCTGGTGGCAACAAAGTTATTTGATGCTGAGCCTTGATTTTTGTATGCCTTCTATAGGAAGTGGAGTTCCTTTCTTCATCCATTGCACAACTTAAGGTGGTGCAGACAAAATATGTGGAAGCCAAGGACTGTCTGATAGTTTTGAATAAAACCAATGAAGGCAAGTGACTTTATATTTTAAAATTTATATCCTGATTTCCCGCCCCTGAAAAAGAGGAATTCAAAGTGGGTTACAACAATGAAAATGCAGAACATTGACACAAATACTAAAAGTTAGTAGTGATGTATAATGATTGTGTTAACTTTAGGTCAAACATCTTCCTTGTTCTACTCCTTAGAATATGAGTGAAACATACCTTACTGTGGTTTCTTAGAAAATGGTATGAAAGATGATATGAAGGAGCTCAATGGTAGTTCCTTCAACTCAGATGTGTTTTTTTATGTTTTACAAAAGTAACCAATAAATTACATGGCACAATTGGATTCTGACTTTGACAAATCATTATTGTGGAGATGCTCTGTAATGTAAAAGTCCTATATTTTTGTCTCATCAGGTAAAGAGCTACTGGTCCCACTTTCCAGCTCTGTATCCTTTCCTCAAGGAGTTGGTGGTATGGCAGCAGCACAGCCTACAGCGCAAAACTTTTCTCCCTTAAGCAGCCATTCTTTTCCTATAATTTGACCGTTGGATTAATCTGCAACAAAGTGTCTAGAACAGGCACAGAGAACCTGTGGTTTGCAGATGTCGCTGAACTACAACTCCCATCATCCTAAGCATTGGCCTTGTTGGATTGGCCTAAAAGGAGTTGGAGTCCAACAGTATCTGGAGAGCCACAGGCTCCCGAGCCCTGGCATAAAACTTTTCAGGGAGCAGCATCTCTCATAGAATCCTTCCATCCTCTCATCTGCGACCACATTTGTGGAGATACCTTATTAGAAGAGTGGAAACGTCTCATAGTTCTCTCTGGAGCCTGTTTCATGGTTCAGAGTAAAAGGCTTTGGGAGTTGTTCAGCAGCTGGGTTGAGCAGGTACATCTTGCACTGGCCACCTGGATTTTTTTATCTTCAGCACTTGCATACTCCTATTCCCCGTGGTTCTTGATTTTTGTCCTACTTCCCCAACTGTTTTCGGACAAATGATTGGTTTTGGAATAAGCGCTACGCATTTGTTTAAACCAAAGTTGAAAGGTTTAAGTAAGCCGGCTGCAGTTGGAGAAGGCACCCCTTGGGAACTGTATCCCCAATTGTTTTGACAACTCATGCCTTTAATAATGTTGGATATTTTACATGTGTCATAATGGAGACTTGAGTGTCAGTGATGTCAGCTTATAACTGTGACCTCACCGTATCACTGACACTCAAGTCTCCATTATGACATATGTAAAATATCCAACTGCAGCCGGCTTACTTAAACCTCATTGTATCATGTGGTGCTGCAACCTCAGGCTTAAAGATCATTTGCATCTTCAGGCTAAAACAGCTCACTGGGCTGCTGTTGACCAATCAAGGTAAAATATCCAGTCTTGTCTGGATTGAGCTGTCATCCTGTCCGTTGGTAAGACATCAGTCTAGCACATGGTAGCTTGGGCATCCGTGTGGAAGAGCCACACACAGGTTGTGGCTTACCTGCATGTCACATGGTTCCTCCCTGTTCCTTCTGCGTTTCCTTAACCTCTCTCACAGATGTACGTTCCTGGGAAGCTTTCTGATGTTACCAATGTCTTGATAGATGTAGGAACAGGTTACTATGTAGAAAAGGTAAGGCATCCGTTCTTGAGATTCACGTGGAATTCTTATTAAAGCAGCTGCATGGTTTGAGTTCATGTGAAACGTTGGGGCCTGCTGTGGTCTAATGCTCCAGTACTTTCTGCCTTGAACTGTTGGGTTGAGTTGAACCGTTCTCAAGGCAGATTTTGGTATTCTGCCTGAACTGACTGTTTCTGGGGCTCTCAATATGGATGAGTTTTTGTGGGGCCCTGAAAGCTTATCAGCCCGCCCTCTTTGTCACATTTCCCATTATGTGTATTTGGGCCAGGAGATGGGAGATTGGGAATGTACAAATTGCATTCCCATACCACTGTATAACCATAGCTGGCTTCATAAACAGGGGATTTGAATCAGAGATCGGGGAAAGGGATTTCTTGACAAATATGATTGTTTTGATTTGATGGATTGCATTTCTCGACTGCTTTTCTATTCAAATGAACCCCAAAAGTGGCTTACAAAACAATAAATAAAAATAACATAATAGAACCTCACAATCACAGCATAAATCATATAATATAATTAACAAAACAATTACAATATTAACAAACCAGCAACTAGAAAATAAGCTAAGAATCACAGTGACAGCATAAGTCATATTATATGATTAACAAATCAGTATGGCATTTATAACCTATATAACAATACAGTGGTACCTCAAGTTACATACGCTTCAGGTTACAGACTCCGCTAACCCAGAAATAGTGCTTCAGGTTAAGAACTTTGCTTCAGGATGAGAACAGAAATCATGCTACGGCGGCAGTGGGAGGCTCCATTAGCTAAAGTGGTGCTTCAGGTTAAGAACAGTTTCAGGTTAAGTACGGACCTCCGGAACGAATTAAGTACTTAACCTGAGGTACCACTGTATTAACAAAATAACAACTAAAAAAATAAACTAAGCATTATTAAGTTCATACAGAAACACACTCCCTTACCTCCAATGACTCATAAAACTTTGGCTCTATTCAGTTCATTAAAATAGAATTCTGTTAAGGAGGAAGCTTTCATTTCGTATGTAATTTTTGTGCCTATAGATTTGTGCTGCAAGTGTACCTGGAAGAGCACATTTCCTCCATGGGAATTAGTAAGAAAAATGGAGTTGGGGACCAACAATGGGCTCCTCAACGGATGCATCCCAGCAGATGCTCAATTCTGCCCATTGTTGTTTTTGGCTGTCTCTAGAAGATTGGTAAATGGATTCCAGTGTGGATTGGTCCAATAGTATGGATTCACTGTGTGCTGCTGGGGAGCTGATCCCATGGGCCCTTTCAACATTTTAAGATAGATCCATGTTTTTTGATAGTGACCACACCATCCGGCATCAAATATGAAATGGCCATTGAATAGACTTGTTACTGGAACAGGCCTAACCTGAAAAGGAACAAATGTTCCTCTTTGGGCATGATGTCTGACAAATTTGAAAGAGAAGGCCAAACAGTTCCAGTAAGACCAGTAAAATTTCTTAGCAGGGGTTTCGTATATCCAAAGAGATAGACTCTATGGCAGGTGCGAGTATAAAAGATTCAGAGCACGCCATACTGGTTAAGGGTTTAAGTCAGGCCTCCTGTATGTTGTTGGACTACAGCTCCCATCATCCCTTTGCTGGCTGGGGCTGATGGGAGTTGTAGTCCACAGCATTTGGAAGGGCACCAGATTGGAGAATTCAAAATTGTTTTGAATATGCCTCCTAAGGGTCTGGCTCCGCACCCTTTGTCTAGAAAGCTATTTTGACGATATCCACCAAGTGCATTTGATGTTGCAGTCAGTGGACGACGCCAGAGATTTCTTCAAGAGGAAGATTGATTTCCTGACGAAACAGATGGAGAAAATCCAGCCGGCGCTCCAGGAGAAGCACGCCATGAAGCAAGGTGGGGCCTGAGGGCAGGCAAAGCCCTGGAATTGGTGAGGCTCCATTTTGATCTGAGCAGCTGTGGCTGGGGTGAAGGTCTTTACTCTTCTTTGCTTCTTCTTTTGCAGCTGTAATAGAGATGATGAGCCATAAGATTCAGCAACTAACAGCAGCGGGGACCTCACAGGCAGCCGCCACAAAGGCCTAGCAAAAACTGGTCACACACATGCCTTCGCAGTTCACCATTTTGTGATGTAAACCCGATTTTGCTGCCCCAGGATGCAGCTATCCATTCAGCTGTGCAGCTGAGGGTGAGGAGGGGGTGGGGCGTTAGTTGCTTTAATAAATACGGGGTTGTGATATAACAAAATCTTTTATGGGAACAATGACCATTTTGAGGATCCCATCCTTTTAAGGCGACGGGCTTTCGCCAGTTTTATTCTTGGGGTGGTTGTTATGTATTGCCGATTGTGACATGAGATGGCCTTTCATTTTTAAAGCCCAGTGGGAAGTTTTTTGTCACTTGTAAATGGAATTGTACAAAATAAACTGGTAGGATGAGAGAAAATGCAATGTGTGTGGACCCGCTAGTGTGATCTTCAGAAATGGGAGGCGAAGGCAAGGAACTGGGAAATAGAAGTGAGCAGCTGTTAACCTCTTTAGATCTTGGGCAAATAACATTAATCAGATATATGTATGAAATGATATTGAGGGAGAATATGTCTGTGTTCTAGGACTGAGTATTGGATTGTACATTCACTAGGTATCTTAATAATAATAATAATAATAAGAATAAGAATTTATTTATACCCTGCCCATCTGGCTGAGTTTCCCCAGCCACTCTGGGCGGCTTCCCATCGAGTGTTAAAAACAATACAGCATTAAATATTAAAAACTTCCCTAAACAGGGCTGCCTTCAGATGCCTTTTAAAGATAATATAGCTGCTTATTTCCTTGACATCTGAAGGGAGGGCGTTCCACAGGGTGGGTGCCACTACCAAGAAGGCCCTCTTGGTGTGGTCATAAGCATATTTATTCCAAAGTAAATCCAATAGGGCTGGTTTGCCTAGCGTTACAAGCATTGGACTCGCATACTTTTCCCCTTATCCTCTGCTGCAGCATCGAGGAGGAGTCCAGAAGCCTTTTGTTTCTGTTTTAGAATAGGTACAACCATCCATGCCATCTTAACCCGGACAAACTAGTTAATTGTAACAATGATTAGTTGAAAGAAGCAAACTTAAGACCCTTAGGGGCGCACTCATATAGCAAGTCCCACAAGCACCAGTGCCTTTGCCCCCTCTCTCTTCCCCAAATTGGCTTGGTGGAAAGCTCCCAGAATATCCAGGCTTCCTGAAGTTCATTCCGTTAATGCTAAACCCATGGGCCTCCAGTTGGGACTTTCAACTCCCATCATCTTACGCCAGAATGGCCAGTGGTCAGTGATGATGATAACTGGGAGTCCAACACCATCTGGAATGCCTCAGCTTCCCTGTCTCTGCGTTAAACCATGGTTGAGCTATATCCAAATGCAGCCATAGAATTCAATAAGCCCTAACACATTTCAGCCTGCAATCCTAAAGCACGCTTAGTACTATCTCCTCCATATAGAGACATTTCGTAGTTGTGTCAGCAGCCTGAATCTGTATACCTCTCATTCTCTTGTCTCCCTGTGTGATGGACTATTTGTAAGTTTTCTCAGGAAACCAGAAAGCAAAGATGTTTCATTTAATAGGGGGGAAACAACAACTTTCCTCCCCTGCAGGAACCCTCAGCATCTGAAGAACTCACTTATAGGCCAGATAATACTGTTACTACTATTGTAGAGGTCTATCTTCTGTAGTTTTTGCTTGACTGTAGTTGATAAAGTATGCTTGTAGTAACATAGTGATAGGTGGAGAGCTGTGGGTATGCAAAGTATTTATCAGGAGAGGAACATGAGGCTGGGAAGATCAAGACCTATCTATGAAAACTGTCTTTTGCATAACTAGCATCCATAGCCATAAACACAAGGAACAGCTTTAAAATGAACTATGTTCTGCCCCGGGACGCGGGTGGCGCTGTGGGTAAAAGCCTCAGTGCCTAGGGCTTGCTGATCGAAAGGTCGGCAGTTCGAATCCCCGCGGCGGGGTGCGCTCCCGTTGCTCGGTCCCAGCGCCTGCCAACCTAGCAGTTCGAAAGCACCCCCGGGTACAAGTAGATAAATAGGGACCGCTTACTGGCGGGAAGGTAAACGGCGTTTCCGTGTGCTGCGCTGGCTCGCCAGATGCAGCTTTGTCACGCTGGCCACGTGACCCGGAAGTGTCTCCGGACAGCGCTGGCCCTCGGCCTCTTGAGTGAGATGGGCGCACAACCCTAGAGTCTGTCAAGACTGGCCCGTACGGGCAGGGGTACCTTTACCTTTTTATGTTCTGCCCCAGATGCCCAGTTTGTACCCTGCACTGCAAAAAAGACTTGCTATGTTCTCTTGTTGGGCTTAAACGTCTTCTAGTCCATAGTGTCTCCTTTTCTTCTTCTTCTTCTTCTTCTGTACAGCCCATCAGCCACCACAATCTCCCAGTGAGTGGCCTTTTTATCAGTGCCGTTCATCTCCTGTTCAGAATTTGGTCCATCTTCCCATTCCGCCACATTGCCTACCTTTGTCTCTCGAACTGCCCTTGTTCGATCGCAAACTTCTGAAAGAAAGAACGAGTTTGGCACTTTGAGATCAGGTATCTCCTTTGTGAACTTTTATTTCACAAGGTTTTGTTCAATCTCCCTGTCCCCTCCTCAACCGCCATCCAATCTCCCCTGCCCCAATGGTCCATGCTCCTTCCCTGAGGCAACTCAGTTCTGCTGCGAGATGCTTCCTCGTCTGAATTTCTTCCATCCAAGTCTCAGGGAGACTTGCTGACTGGATCTCTTCCCCCTCCCTCCCCTTGAAGGTCTTCTATTATGGCTTCTAACTAAAGAATGCCCCCCCCCACACACATTGTATGTACAGGAGGAGGGTCCAGGGCCTGTAGATTCTCAGCAGGTGAGTTTGTGCTCCGCTTTCATTCTGCCCCACAGGCAGTTCGAGATCTGGGCTGCAACCAGTCTCTCTCCCGACACGGGCCTGAAGTCCAAACTCTGAGCCCTGTCTTCTCTTCTTCCCTCCTCCTCCTCGTCACCACCCAGTGGATTTTGCACGTTGGCCCCATCAGGGCCTTTGACCTGGTCAAGCGACACCCAGGTTGCAGTCCAGAGTCACCTCGGACCCCAACCTGTAGTCTTCAGGCCGCAAGCCTGGGCGTCGACGTTTGGAATTCCTCTCCCGCCGGGGGGAACGAAAAACCTCAACGCACAAAGATGGGCTTGTGCACTCTCTTGTGGCGGATGAGCGTGGTTCTCTTGGTGAAACACTCTCCGCACTCCACGCAAATGAAGGGCTCCGAGGGGGCGACGCCATGGTGAGCCACGCGGTGGCGCTCCACCTCGGAAGGTGCCCGGAAGCGCTGCCCGCATTCCGGGCAAGGGTGTCCGATGGGGGAGTCCGTGTCGTGGCGCAGGCGCTGGTGTTTGACCAAGCCGGCCGTGTGCGCAAAGCCCCGCCCGCACTCGGGGCAGCGGAAGGGCCGGGCACCCGTGTGCGTCCTCCGGTGCTTGGCCAGGTTCTTGCTTTGGGTGAAGCTCCGCCCGCAGTCCCCGCATGTGTAAGGGCGCTCTCCCGTGTGTATGCGCTGGTGCTGGATGAGGTTGGAGCTCCAGCTGAAGCTCTTGCCGCAGTCCCGGCAGACGTAGGGCTTTTCGCCGGTGTGCGTGCGCCGGTGCTGCACCAGGTGCGAGTTCTGCGAGAAGCTCTTGCCGCAGTCGGTGCAGGTGCTGGGCCGCTCGCCAGTGTGCGTGCGCTGGTGCCGCAGCAGCTTCGACCAGTGGCTGAAGCTCTTGCCGCACTCGTTGCAGATGAAGGGCCGCTGCTTGGTGGAGCGCGAGACCACTGCAGCGGCAACCGCCCCCTCGCCCTCGCCATAGCTGTCAGGGGCTAGCGGGCTCCCCTGCCGGTCCACTGCTGGTCCTTCCTGCTGGGAATTTGCCTTCCAGTTGGACTGTCCATGCTGAATGCTGGATTGGATGGTCTCGTGCTCCAGATCATCTTCACCTTTGTCAGCTGTAGGGAAAAAGAGCCACATAGATCAGCCACAGGAGCAATGCACCAAGACCCACAGGCTGATCCCCAGAAGTCAGAAGAACGGGTCTTTAAGTTTGAGGCTTTCAAAAATGGGAACCCACCAGGGCTGAGTTTAAAAACAGCCACACACCTGCTCCATACTACTACTACTACTACTACTACTAATAATAATAATAATAATAATTTATTATTTATACCCCGCCCATCTGGCTGGGTTTCCCCAGCCACTCTGGGCGGCTTCCAACTGAATATTAAAAACAATACAGCATCAGACATTAAAAACTTCCCTAAATAGGGCTGTTTTCTAAAAGTCAGATAGTTATTTATTTCCTTCACATCTGATGGGAGGGCATTCCACAGGGCAGGTGCCACTACTGAGAAGGCCCTCTGCCTGGTTCCCTGTAACCTCACTTCTCGCAGTGAGGTAACCACCAGAAGGCCCTCAGCACTGGATGTCAGTGTCCGGGCTGAATGATGGGGTGGAGACACTCCTTCGGGTATACAGGACCGAGGCCATGCAAATGTTATGAAAAAGCTAATGGTGCAACCCACATTTATTATGATAGTTTGTATAATTTCTCCCATTGGCATAGTTTTATTGCACCATTCCTACGATTTTCCCTAAGTGGCCAAGAAAAGCTGGTTTGGTTTAAACTTGCCAGTGGTTGTCCTGTCTGCATGCGAAACACCAAAATGATAGCTAGTGTGTTTGCCCATGACCCTATTCTACATTTCAAGTTCAACTTCAAGTTTACCTTCCCGCTGGAGCGGTACCTATTTATCTACTTTGACATGCTTTCAAACTGCTAGGTTAGCAGGAGCAGGGACCGAGTAACGGGAGCTCACCCCGTCACAGGGATTCGAACTGCCGACCTTCCGATCGGCAAGCCCTAGGCTCAGTGGTTTAGACCAGGTTGTAATAAAAATGTTGTAATAATAATAGGATCTACACAAGGATGTGCAACTGAGCCAAGCATCTCACCTACGTAGACTCTCCGTACAATCCCGCCATCATCTGAGCTGTGGATCTCCAGATGACCTGGGTCTTCACAGTCCATCTCAAAGAGCTTTTCCCCCTCCAAGCCAGAATGTTACTGCTATGGGGGGAATGAGAGAGTTGAAATCAGAGGAAGAATCAAGCATTTCTGGAGTTGGTAACAGATGTTCACAAACAAGCAGTACTGGGTGAAAGGGAACATAATTGTCTACTGCTTGAGATCGCTCAGCCTCTCCTCTGACTAACAAGCCATGCTCTCTCTTGTCTTCTGGTGGGAGCCATGCTGGTAGAGCGAGGCCTATCTAGCTCTGCTAATCTATGACCTCCACTTGGGAGGACTCAACCTCTACACCGAAAAGTGCCAAGGCTTCACAAAATGGCACGCTCTGATCTAAAAGCCCTGCCCTGTAAAGCCCACCCTGCTCAGCGGTGACCAAAATGCACTCTGCACGCTTTAAGCAACACTCTTTTTGTAGTGCCTCAACACGTTTCAGGGTTTGAGCCCCAACCTTGAAAATATGTTCCAGGGGTATTCCCAAATCAAACTATGCCTTGACCACAGAGCACAGAGCAAAAGCACTCCAGTTACCAGTGATTTGAATCTCATCCTTTCACTGGGAATGTGAGAACGCCTCCTAGCATCTCACGAGACGGGGAATCAGCTACTTTGTTCTGAAACTACCGCAGCGGTGTAGAACCTGTGTCCCTCCACGGATGTTGGATTCCAACTCCCATCAGCCCCAGCCGGTATAGCCAACAGTCAGGGAAGATGGGAATTGTAGTCCAGGGCCCCCGAAACAGTGTTCAGTGCTACCAGCCCAGCATTTCCTGAAAAGATACAGGGGAAGACCAGTATATAACTGAAACCTTAATTGCTGTTCCACTTTTATTATTTAACAAGGGAGGAACCAAAAGGAACCATTCAAATAAAATACCAGATAAATTGCACCCATCATTCATCGGCCCATCTAGCCCAATGCTGCCTACACTGGTTGGCAGCGGCTCTACAAAGTTTTAGGCAGACTTCTCTCCCAACCCTACCTGCAGATGCCAGGGATTGATCGTGCACACAAAACAGGTGCTCTGCTATGAAGTCAAGGCCTCATCCCCTAAGCGGCAGAAGCCCTCTATGCTGATCCAGCAGGGCTCCTCTTACATTTAACCTATTATTTCCTGCCCTGACTTTCATCAGCTCTCCAGGCTCTGAAACAGAGGTCTCCCCCCAAAACCTGCTTCTCCCCCTCGCCCACTTCTCTTTTAATTGTCCCAGACTGAAGCAGGAACCTTCTGCACACAAGAGCATATGCTCTCCCACGGAGTTATGTTCCTGCTTCAGGAACTCTGTGCTTCAGAGTTATTGCTCTATCCATAGGCAACTTTAACCGCTGAATCAATGGATTAAGACCAATTGCATTTGGCAGGATTCACTGCCAAGAAACTGCATGGGATTGCAGCCATGTAATCAAGCTACTGGTGAGCATATTCCTTTTCTAAAAAATGCTGCCAACTGTAAGCCTCCCACAATATGAATCCAGTCAACCAGAAGAACATCGGGGGGTGGGGTGGAGATGAGGGCAAAAGATGATGATGAGAAGAAGACAAAGAAGGAGGAGGAGAAGGAGGAGGAGAAGAAGCTTGTAGCTTGTTGCACATGGGGACCTAGTGACAATGAAAATGAAATAATAATAAGCTTGTTGCACATGCGGACTTAGTAACAATAAAAATGAAAATCAGGCCACTAATGCCTAACCATCCTTATAAAGGGTAAAGGGACCCCTGACCATTAGGTCCAGTCGTGGCCGACTCTGGGGTTGCGGTGCTCATCTCGCTTTTTTGGCTGAGGGAGCCGGCGTACAGCTTCCGGGTCATGTGGCCAGCATGACTAAGCCGCTTCTGGCAAACCAGAGCAGTGCACGGAAATGCCGTTTACCTTCCCGCCGGAGCGGTACCTATTTATCTACTTGCACTTTGACGTGCTTTCGAACTGCTAGGTTGGCAGGAGCAGGGACCAAGCAACGGGAGCTCACCCGGTCGCAGGGATTCGAACCGCCGACCTTCTGATCTGGAATTCCTAGGCTCTGTGGTTTAACCCACAGCACCATCCTTATAACAACATATTACAGAGGAAGGGCCATGTAAGCTCCTTGCACACACACAAACAAATACAAAGAGCAATCACGTGGCTGTTGCGCTCATGCCACAATAAATCTGTTAGCAGCAATACTTAGAGCTTTAAATAGTGTCTTCTAAAGTTAAAAACCAGCCAACAGCACCTTCCCGTACCCCAACCCCCCACTCCCCATTTTGCACCGCTCAGGAAGATAAAGACCCATCCCCACGGCCGCCTTACTCAGCCCCGGAAACCTCTAACTTGATGCCCCGCAGCGATGCTTCGCTGCACCCCCGGAGCCGCAACTTTGAAAATGACAGCTTTCTGTCTCGCCCGAGGTGGCCATCTTGGGATCGAGCAATGTCATTGGGGGCAGAGGCGAGCAAGCAGGTGGCGGAGGAACGGGGGGGGGGCAATCGGCGGCCAGCCGGACCCCGAAATCCTGCAGATCTGAGCCGCGATGCCACATCCCCGGAGAGAGGGAACCATTTCGAGATTGCACCGACGTGAGAACGAGAGAGAGAGAAAGAGAGAGCAATGGGAAGAACAAGGAAACTCTCAACAAGGGTGGCAAGAAGGGAAGAAATCTGATCAATAATAAGCATGCAAAGTCTTTTGCAAAGTGAGAAAAAAGGGCGCAGTGCTGCCCACTCGGGATGCGGTTTGCAGAGGGAGGGAGGTCGTGCCTGGCGATGCTCCCCTTGCAAATCTTGCCAATTCCGCTTGCAAATCTTGCAAATGGAATGATCTTCCCCGACTCCCGGTATCTCCCCCCCCCCCCAGCAGATCCCTCGGTTCAAACTCACTTGCCCTGGGAAGATGAAGGAAGCAAGGTAACCCGTTCTGATTTATTTTTCCAGACACCACCCCCACCTTAGGCAAGAGAAAGGAGGCTGAGCCACGGCAGCGATTGCACTCCAGCTCAACTCTCAGCTCAGCTCAGGGGGCTGCTGGGAACAGGAAGGTCCCAGATAGATTTAATCCCCTATTCCACCTCCTCTCCGCTGCTGTATTTCCTGGTGATCGCTAGGAAGAGGGAGGTATTGCTAGCTCTATGGTTAAGAGATGGGGAGGGGGGCGGTGTTGTCCTAGTAAATCAGCATGCTTTCTTGAAAAGGAAAGTGCGGTGTCTATATAGATGCACCCTGAGGGGTGAAAGATGCCGTCGGAAAAGTAGGTGGGCGAGTTTCTTCTCCGTTAGGGACGGGGAGGTCAGCAGCTGGCTGAGAGCTGTTAACTTATATGCAGAATTCATCATGCGAAAGGCTGGGCTGGATGAATCCCTAGCCGGAATTAAGATTGCTGGAAGAAATATCAACAACCTCAGATATGCAGATGACGCAACCTTGATGGCAGAAAGTGAGGAGGAATTAAAGAACCTTTTAATGAGGGTGAAAGATGAGAGCACAAAATATGGTTTGAAGCTCAACATCAAAAAAACTGAAGATCATGGCCACTGGTCCCATCACCTCCTGGCAAATAGAAGGGGGAAAAAATGGAGGCAGTGATTTTACTTTCTTGGGCTCCATGATCACTGCAGATGGCGACAGCAGCCACGAAATTAAAAGACGCCTGCTTCTTGGGAGAAAAGCAATGACAAACCTAGACAGCATCTTAAAAAGCAGAGACATCACCTTGCCAACAAAGGTCCGTATAGTTAAAGCTATGGTTTTCCCAGCAGTGATGTGTGGAAGTGAGAGCTGGACCATAAAGAAGGCTGATCGCCGAAGAATTGATGCTTTTGAACTATGGTGCTGGAGGAGACTCTTGAGAGTCCCATGGACTGCAAGAAGATCAAACCTATCCATTCTGAAGGAAATCAGCCCTGAGTGCTCACTGGAAGGACAGATCCTGAAGCTGAGGCTCCAATACTTTGGCCACCTCATGAGAAGAGAAGACTCCCTGGAAAAGACCCTGATGTTGGGAAAGATGGAAGGCACAAGGAGAAGGGGACGACAGAGGACGAGGTGGTTGGACAGTGTTCTCGAAGCTACCAACATGAGTTTGACCAAACTGCGGGAGGAAGTGGAAGACAGAAGTGCCTGGTGTGCTCTGGTCCATGGAGTCACGAAGAGTCAGACATGACTAAACGACTAAACAACAACACCCTTTTCTTTGGCGATGCACCCAGAAGGTGCCACCAGAAGACCCTCAGAGTAGGACCAGGGCCAGCCCACCCACGTGGCAAGATCTTCATGTGGATATTTATTCAGCTGAGATTCCTGCATCATTGCAGGGGGGTGGACTGGATGACCCTTGGCGTCCCTTCCAACTCTACAATTCTGTGATTCCACCTTTGTTCCTCTTATTCCCTGGTGGGGAGGCGGGGCATGTGTGCCATTTTGTAGTGTTGTAAACAAAATATGCCCTTTTTCCCTTATGGGGTATCCAAGAGTCCTTACGTGGGCTCCCTATTGGTAGGAGAAAATAACAGAGGCCAACCAGAGATCATTGAGAAGCAAAGCAGCTAGTAAGCCTGATCCTTATTGATCTGTTGCAACAGAGTGCTCCCCTCACACGCAGGAGGACCCAGAACCAAAGTGTGACTGCATTTTAAATTCCCTGCCCTGGAGCTCAAGACCACCCCTCCATACATCATACATACATCACAGTGATGTATGGAAGTGAGAGCTGGACCATAATGAAGGCTGATCACCGAAGAATTGATGCTTTTGAATTATGGTGCTGGAGGAGACGCTTGAAAGTCCCGTGAACTGCAAGAAGATCAAACCTATCCATTCTGAAGGAAATCAGCCCTGAGTGCTCACCGGAAGGACAGATCCTGAAGCTGAGGGTCCACTACTTTGGCCACCTCATGAGAAGAGAAGACTCCCTGGAAAAGACCCTGATGTTGGGAAAGATGGAGGGCACAAGGAGAAGGGGACGACAGAGGACGAGATGGTTGGATAGTGTTTTATTACAGTGGTTCGCCTCAGGTGCCAAAATATATTGGGTAGGGTTTTCAGGTACTTAAGCCCAAGGCCATTAAGCAAAGGAGGTCTGGCTTACCCTGCCATAAATTGAATAAAGATAATGTCACATTTGTGGTCTGAAGAGGGGGCCCCTGTAACTCCAGGATTTAAAATAATGTAAGGGTGCCACTGACAGGATGTGCGTACCACAGCATCCCGGATCATATGGGAAAAAGCCTCATATATTTCAGTGGAAGCAGTGTGAGGAACGTTGTGGTACTCTGCATTAATTCCACCACCACCTATTGATGTACCTGCCAAAGGGTGGAAGTTGACTAAATTTTACACACAAGCAGGCCCACTGGATTTAATGGAGATGACAGAGGTGGTATACACACTGCTGTTTACTCTAGCTCCTGTATGCTTCCAACGCTGGTGTTTGAAGCATGATGTCTGCCATAATCCATATGTCTTAAATGTACTCAATTTAAGGGTGGAAATGCTTCAAGGGACATGTTACGGGTTTGGTTTGCAGATCACAGTTAGCCAAACCATGAACGCACAAGCATGTGGGCTCCTAAGGAAGAGATCCCGGACACTTTGCTGCTCCCTGGTTGTTCTGCCATTGGGATGAGCTAAGCTAAGCTAAGCATAGTGTGTATTCTGAACCCAGGTATGTGGGTTTGTTGTTTAGTCGTTTAGTTGTGTCCGACTCTTCGTGACCCCATGGACCAGAGCACGCCAGGCACTTCTGTCCTCCACTGCCTCCCGCAGTTTGATCAAATTCATGCTGGTAGCTTCAAGAACACCATCCAACCATCTCATCCTCTGTCGTCCCCTTCTCCTTGTGCCTTCCATCTTTCCCAACATCAGGGTCTTTTCCAGGGAGTCTTCTCTTCTCATGAGGTGGCCAAAGTATTGGAGCCTCAGCTTCATGATCTGTCCTTCCAGTGAGCACTCAGGGCTGATTTAGTTCTCCCAAACAAACCACAAACCATAAACCATAGGACAAACCTTGGCTACAGCTCTTGGTTTGTCTGAAGAGAGCCAAACCATGAGCTTAGGTTTGGGTGACAAACTTAGCCAAGCCGCAGCACAGCTCAACACAACAGCTGAGCAACCAGAAGTAGAGCAAAGTTACCTAAAACAGTACAAAAATAATATATATATTTGCGACCACAGCCGCTTGAATGCTATTCGCCCAAAGATGGAAAGAAGAAAATGTCCTGACAAAAGAGGAATGGTGACAGAAACTACTAGATTATGCAGAAATGGCTAAGTTTAACAGAAGAATAAGAAATCAAGAGGACAAAGTTTTTAATAAAGAATGGAAACTGTTTATTGAATATTTACAAGACTATTGTAAACAGATTAAGACATTAGCAGGATTAATGTAAAAACGTGCAGTGATATAAAACATATATTGAATATATGGGATAAATAAATAGGTTTAATTTGGAAATGCAGTAAAAATATTATAAATGTAAGGAACCGCAGAAAGAGGGGGAGGGGAGTCGAAATATGACACATGCAGTAAGTTGCTTTTTAATAGGTTTTGCTTTTGTTTGTTGTAAAATGAAAATTATAATTTTTTAAAAAGGAGTAAATTGGCTACCATCTCTTCTGGATCCTGTGTGTGTTTGGCTTCTCCTAGCGCAGCATGAGAACCAGGCTATTGAGTCCCAAAATATAGAATCCTCACGTGCTTTTGATCCCATATACAACCAAACTAGAGCCAAAACTTGGAATGTGAGTGATTTTTCAAAGTTTAGTTTCAAAACCTGACTTGGAAGTATATTTAAAGCCTAACTTTTCAGCTTTGCTGATTCACTTCAAGATGGTCATAGTAAAGTGTTTCTGACACCCAATTTTTTCTTAAACCCATCAACAGTGCAATTCCTCGCATGCCTTCTTAGACCTAAGTTCCCTTGGGTTTGGTGTGTATAGGATTGCAGCCTAAAACCTGTACAGGAGAGCAATGGGTGGGAAAATTAACTTGGAAGGATCAACTTTAACTTTCTGTTTGCAGGTAGATCTGAGTTCAGAAAATGTGCACGAGAACATTCCCTACAAAAACCTGTTTCAGTTTTACATATCGGCCTGCTCTTTTACACAGTATGCGGTTTGGTTTTGTAGCTCACCCCTACCCCAAACGCTAAGCTACGTGCAGTTTCTGGTGCCTCCTGAGCTGCGACTTGTGCTGGAAACCCTCCCTGCACTCCTCGCAGATATAAGGCCTCTCGTCCGTATGGGTGCGCCGGTGACGGATTAGGTTCGAGCTCACGCTGAATCGCTTCCCGCACTCCACGCACGTGTAAGGCTTCTCTCCCGTGTGGGTCCTCTGATGCTGGATAAGGGCAGAGCTCTCACTGAAGCGCTTGCTGCAGTCCCTGCATTGGTAGGGCTTCTCTCCTGTGTGTATCCTCTGGTGGGTCAGCAGGTTGGAGTTCTGGCTGAAGCCTTTGCCACAGACAGCGCAGGTGTAGGGCTTCTCCCCTGTGTGGGTGATCTGGTGCCTGACGGGGTCCGAACTGCGGCTGAAGCCCTTGCCACACTCATTGCAGATGGTGGGCCTCACGAGGGGTCTTTGCAGGGCCAGGAGATCCTTCAGCCTTTCAATGCCTTCCTTGCACTGGGATGATACACCAAACGTCCTACTAAGGGCTGTGGTTTTCCTCTGCTGCCTCCCTGGCTTGCTCTGGCTCTCGCAGTCTCTTTCCTGACTGCCGCTGTCCAAATTTCTCCCCTGGGAGTGTTCCTCTGCCCCCTGAAGATCTGTTCTTATGGGGTCTTTCTGGGTAAGGCTGCTTGCCTTCCTTTTGCTCTCCATTATTTTGTATCCTGGAAAGAGAATTCAGCTATCAGCAGAATATATCTAAGTGGGGTAGGAGAGCTGAGGGGGGAAATAATTCATACCTGACAACCAATGCTCCCCTTTGGTTTCTGATAGTACATGGGTAGATAAGTCTAAAACAAATTTTCATAGCCCTCTAATGTTGTGTATGGTGGCTCATTTACCAGAAGTAATGTATTTAGTGTTAACTCTGGAAGCTTTATGGGGACGCGGGTGGCGCTGTGGGTTAAACCACAGAGCCCAGGACTTGATGATCAGAAGGTCGGCGGTTTGAATCCCCGCAACGGGGTGAGCTTCCATTGCCTGGTCCCAGCTCCTGCCAACCTAGCAGTTTGAAAGCACGTCAAAGTGCAATTAGATAAATAGGTACCGCTCCGGTGGGAAGGTAAATGGCGTTTCCGTGCGCTGCTCTGGTTCGCCAGAAGCGGCTTAGTCATGCTGGCCACATGACCCGGAAGCTGTACGCCGGCTCCCTCAGCCAATAAAGCGAGATGAGCGCTGCAACCCCAGAGTTGGCCATGACTGGACCTAATGGTCAGGGGTCCCTTTACCTTTACCTTTTACTGGAAGCTTTTGAATGTAAAAGGCATCATTTTCTAATTCTGAGAGATACCCTACTGGGGCACCTTGATTCTAATTGCAGTACAGCACTTGACATGCCATGGTGTTTAAGTATTATATAATATTCAAGAGGTGGTACACCACAGGATTAATATTTGACACTGTTGCTGCAACTGGCAATAGTGTATGCACACAGGAACAGGGAACTCTGTCCCAAATGCAGAGTGGTCAAGTGAGACTGAATTGGCACACTCCTTGCCACCAGCAGCTCTCTGAAAACATTTGTTGTGTGCTAAAGTTGTGTGCTATAGTCCAACAGGAGGATTTGTGTTATTAATAATATTCCATCTAGAGTTCTGAGTGAGTCCAACCCCAGGTCTGGCTTTTCAGCCACACCATTTGTCTGTTGGGTTCCTCCTGTTAGAACAGGACAAAGGTCTATCCAGGGAACAAAGACTGATTCTTCTGGTTGTCACAGATTATTATATAGTGATGTGAGGTAAAGGTAAAGGGACCCCTGACTATTAGGTCCAGTCGCGGACGGCTCTGGGGTTGTGGTGCTCATCTCGCTTTACTGCCCAAGGGAGCCGGCGTTTGTCCGCAGACAGCTTCCGGGTCATGTGGCCAGCATGACTAAGCCGCTTCTGGTGAACCAGAGCAGCGCACGGAAACGCCGTTTACCTTCCTGCCGGAGCGGTACCTATTTATCTACTTGCACTTTGACGTGCTTTCGAACTGCTAGGTTGGCAGGAGCAGGGACTGAGCAACGGGAGCTCACCCCGTCACGGGGATTCAAACCGCCAACCTTCTGATCGGCAAGTCCTAGGCTCTGTGGTTTAACCCACAGCACCACCCACGTCCCTCTGATGTGAGATAAGGGTGTATAAAAAAAATAAGGGATTGCACAACAAGCAGAAAAACACAAATGAAAACTCGATTTCAAAATATTTTCAAATTCAGCCTTGATTCTATTTGCAATAAAAACTAACCTGCTGGCTTGCCCCCTTCCAAATACCCTCTGGACAAGGGCATGTTGAGATACAGTCTGGGTGCATGTCAAACCCACCAGAGCAACAGAGGTCAGCCCCCACCCTTGGCATTTGTAAAATGGTAAGAATGAAGCTACCTTGCAGAGAGATAAGGAATTCAGTGCTTTGCACTTCATTGTACTGTACAGCAATGAACTTAAACACCCACGCCCACAATGGGAAAGGAAAAACATCAACCCCCAGTACTGACACTTCAGGAGTGTGGCTTGATTCAGAGCATAGTGAAATGATGAGATTTGGGGGTGGGCTGCTGCAACAGCTTCAGATTTTTTTTGTTTTTCATACGTATTAACTGGAATGCATTTTATTACAATGATTGTAAGCAGTGGCGTAGCGTGGGGGGTGCAGGGGGGGCCGGCCGCACCGGGCGCAACATCTGGGGTTAGGGCAAATCCACAGGTTAGGGGGCGCAAATCCACGGGTTAGGGGGTGCAAATCCACGGGTTAGGGGGCGCAAATTACTTGCCTTGCCCCGGGTGCTGACAACCCACGCTACGCCACTGATTATAAGTACAGCACTTTCCCCAGAATCCTGTCACTGACAAGAGTCCATCTGTCCAATAAAGCACATCTGATAAAAAACAGAGTTTCCTTCCAGCAGGCAGAGTCCGGACGTAGTTGCTGCTGCTAAAGCAAATCGTCCTCCACGCTTCCCCATCTTGCATCTACTCACCGCTGCTTTGGGCGCGGAAGATTTTTTGGTTTTGGCTGCTGCATTTACCGAGGGAGGAGAATTCACTGCAGGCACCACAGGGTGGAGACTGAGAAACCCAGAGCCAGATTTTGCTCAGCTCCACCAACATTTAAGGTGGACTCTGGCTGGGGAAAGGAAAGTCCTTTCTCCATTCAGCCCCAGCCTCCACCTCCGATCCTAGGAGGCGACAGATGTGGTTGCATTCGCTGCTGCTTTCATCCTTGCCTTCCCTTTTGAGCGTCTGGCTGGCTGGCTTTGCTCCTCTCCGGCTGGAGGAGCGTGTCTGGGATGAGGGGAAGGGCTGTCTTTTGTTCAGAGACAGCAGAGGTCAGATTCAGCCAGTGGCATCCTCAGCGATGCCCTTGTTTTAATTGCACGATGCCTCCCCTTAAGTTATCCACCCAAGCATGAAGATATATTCTTCCAAGTCTAACTTTACCACCTGTAGACTGCAATAAACCCTATTAACAATGGTAATTATGATGCGATTTTAAGCGAAACCTCCAGGCATGGAATTCCCAGACAGTGGGAACAGAATTCCCAAAAAAGACGATTAAGCTGTATGTAATGACAGCAGCTAGGATTCTTTATGCACAAAGCTGGAAGGAAGAAGTTCCCACCAAAGAAGAATGGATAAGTAAAGGGATGGACCATGGAGGGATGGCAAAGCTAACAGCAAAAATAAAAGAGCCTAATGATTGTTTTGTGGAAGAATGGAAGCCCCTTTTGGAATATTTAAATGGAAGCTCCTTTTGGAATATTTAAAGAAATATTATGGTATGATCATGGGTGTAAATAGGTATTTTTTTGAGAAGTTACGGGTAAAAATACCACCCCAAAAGGGGGACAGGCTTTGGTTGGGGGTGGACAGAACCTCAGTTAGTTGAGTACTTTCGATGCTGCCCCCCCCCGCTATGCCCATGAGTGTGATGAATTTCCGAGCAGGATTTGAACTATGAGCAACAGACAGGCTTAGAGATTATTGTGCCGTGGTTATGAGAGAGAGAAGACAAGGGTGCAGCAAGGGGAAGAAAATAAAAACACCATGGAAAACAGGAGGGGAGGTCAATAAAACCAAAGAGAAAATTATTATGTGTTGGAATGTATTTTTGGATATATATATATATATATATATATATATATATATATTATAATAAATTAAAAAATGAATTAGAATAAAAAGAAGGCATGCCCAGATGTTGCCAGCCTTCACGTCACGTTTGCAGACTTCTTTGTAACGCAGAACCGAACAAAATTGTGCACGGGACCTGAATAATAATAATAATAACATATTATTTATACCCCGCCCATCTGGCTGGGTTTCCCCAGCCACTCTGGGCGGCTTCCAACAGAACACTAAAATATAATAACCTATTGAACATTAAAAGCTTCGCTAAACAGGGCTGCCTTCAGATGTCTTCTAAAAGTTTGGTAGTTATTTTTCTCTTTGACATCTGGTGGGAGGGCGTTCCACAGGGCGGGCGCCACTACCGAGAAGGCCCTCTGCCTGGTTCCCTGTAATTTCGCTTCTCGCAGGGAGGGAACCGCCAGAAGGCCCTCGGCGCTGGACCTCCGTGTCCGGGCAGAACGATGGAGGTGGAGACGCTCCTTCAAGTATACAGGACTGAGGCCGTTTAGGGCTTTAAAGGTCAGCACCAACACTTTGACTGGTGCTCGGAGACGTACTGGCCTGAAGCGCTGCTTTGCCTCTTCCTCCTCCCCTCCCGGGCCTAAAATCTAGCTAGGCCCAGAAAACGCCCCTGTTGGGGGAAGAAAGAGCCCAGCCTTTGACAGAAGCTGCTAAGCGGCGTATCCCTGGAACTCCCTTCGCCGGGGAAAGAGGGCTTGTTCGGAGAGCCGCGAGAGGATTGGCAGGTAGAGGGAGGAGTGGGGCGGGCTTTACCATGAGACCCTCGGCAATGATTGGAGGAGACTGGTGAGGAGGGCGGGGCCCGCTGAGACGGAGCGGAAAGAGCGTCTTCGCCCCGCGCCTGCCTGAGGGGTTGTTTCTTCTTTTTTACCGCTTCCGGGTCACTTGGGTCAGCGGCGCTTGAGGTTCCGGGGGCGCTGCTAGAGGGCGCGCGGGCCGGGGTCGACGCCGGGTCGGTGAGTGAGGCGGCGGCAGGGGCCGGGCAGGCCTCGCCCTGCGGTGCGGGGTCCGCTCCGTCTGGCCTCAGCGGACGGCGGAGGCGGCACCGCCGGGGAGGGGCGCTGGTGGGGCTGGTGGTGAGCGAGAGGCGACCCCTGGGACCCCCGCATGGGCGGTGCGACAACCCCCAGCACCACCACCTCTGGGCGGCGTCTGGGGGCTCCAGCTCGCCTCTTTCCCAACCGTTCGTTTCCATACCCAAAAATGTCTGCCACAATAACAGCAACAATTGTTGTTGTTTAGTCGTGTCCGACTCTTCGTGACCCCCTGGACCAGAGCACGCCAGGCACTCCTGTCTTCCACTGCCTCCCGCAGTTTGGTCAAACTCATGTTGGTAGCTTCAAGAACACTGTCCAACCATCTCGTCCTCTGTCGTCCCCTTCTCCTTGTGCCCTCCATCTTTCCCAACATCAGGGTCTTGTCCAGGGAGTCTTCTCTTCTCATGAGGTGGCCAAAGTATTGGAGCCTCAGCTTCAGGATCTGTCCTTCCAGTGAGCATTCAGGGCTGATTTCCTTAAGAATGGATACGTTTGATCTTCTTGCAGTCCATGGGACTCTCAATAGTCTCCTCCAGCACCATAATTCAAAAGCATCAATTCTTTGGCGATCAGCCTTCTTTATGGTTCAGCTCTCACTTCCATACATCACTACTGGGCAAGCCATAGCTTTAACTATACAGAACTTTGTTGGCAAGGTGATGTCTCTGCTTTTTAAGATGCTGTCTAGGTTTGTCCTTGCTTTCCTCCCAAGAAGCAGGCGTCTTTTAATTTCGTGGCTGCTGTCACCATCTGCAGTGATCATGGAGCCCAAGAAAGTAAAATCTCTCACTGCCTCCATTTCTTCCCCTTCTATTTGCCAGGAGGTGATGGGCCCAGTGGCCATGATCTTGGTTTTTTTGATGTTGAGCTTCAAACCATATTTTGCGCTCTCCTCTTTCACCCTCATTAAAAGGTTCTTTAATTCCTCCTCACAGCAACAATACAACAACAGAAATCCCGCCAAGCTTCTATGTTGTGCATGCAGAGATCTAGGTGGCTATAGAGAGAGAGAGGTATTCAAAATGTACATGGGCGTAGGCAGGGAGGGCATCTCCCCCCCCCATCAAATAAAAAAAAATACTTAATTTAGAAATTGTAGAAAGATTTTGGACAGGTTTTTCTGAGCACTTGGAGTCTAAAGAAAGTAATGTAAATTAACTGTTGATGTTAGAGTTCATTCCAATTCTGCTAGACGGAGCCAGACAGAGGATGATGACAAGTGGTGGTCCTGTCCGTCCCCCCCAACATAAATCCCGGCTATGCCCATGAAAATGTATATCCTTATATGTCAAGTTACATAGGGAGCCTGCGTGTGAGGCGAGGGTATGTGGCGATTAAGCAGCTTGCATTGAAATGCAGAAGGTAACGCAGAGGCAGTGCTTCTTAATTCAAAACCACAAGAGAGTCTTGTTGCCTCTTAAACATTTGTGATGACATGCTTTGTTTGTGTGGTCTAGACTAGAGCCCATGTCATCAGGTGCGTGAAGTGTTAGCCCAGGTTAGCTGGCGTAGGCACTTGGGTGTAAGCAGTGAAGCGTGGGGGAAGCAGAATACAAGAATGCAAACTGACAATTATGTTAAAAACTTGCATATGTGTAAAGCACAGTGGTAGTCACAAAGAAGTGTTTGATGAGAACACAAACATTCTGGCGTTTGTAACCTATTTAACATCTGTAATAGGATGAAAAAGACTTGCCGCAGAGACACACTGGTCCTCAAAGCTATTCTTCAGGTGGCATGTTAAGCTTGCTGCTGAAGAGTTCTGGGAATCTGAATTCTTGCTCATTACTTTGTGATCTTTCAGTTGGTCTTAACTGAAAGGTGTTAGTTAATCCTACTGCTATTTCTGAATTGTTTTCTAATTAACCAACAGAGCTAACTGGCACCTCAGTCCGCTTACACTAAGGCTATTGGAAGACGTTTTATGTAGTAATATGTCAAATGGTGTCTAATGCATCCCTTGCATCAGGTCAACAGTGAAGCATACATGTTTCCTCTTTTAGTAGAAGTGCATCTCGGTATGAGCAGTGATACATGGCATGCATGTAATGTGTGACAGGGAAGGGATGCATCATGCATTGTGACTAAAGTGCTTTCGCCCAGAATACATTCAAGAGTTATAGGCAGGCAGTACAGCTGTCTGGGAGCTGGCAGAACTAGGCTGCTGAATGCTTGCTTGTTTGTTTGTTTCTCGTGGCTTGACAGCTATTCCCTTGCAGCACACCTTTTGGGAATTAGTGGTTTATTATTTATCTGTTCCTTCTCATTCCTAATTGGAAGGCAGTATCAGTCACAGCAATGTTCCACAGTTGCGTGTTTCTCTTGCTCCCCTTTTCTCCCCAAAATGGGGAGTGCATTTGTCTGCTTAGTTTACTTTCATCTTATATACTCTGTAGTCCTCTTGGCCACCTGAGTTGAGTAAAAAAGAAGGAATGCTTCTGACGTTATTTTATGTGTCACTGAGACTGCAGCATCTGTCTCTAGTTTAGATTACTGCAATGTATCATATGCCTTTAAAGATGGCTCAGAAACTGTAGCTGTGCAGAATTCAGTGGCCAGGTTGCTCACCGGCACAAGTAGTTTCTGGGCTCAGTTCAAAATGCTGGTTGTGACCTAGGAAGCCTGGTGCTGCTCTGGACCTTAGTACTTCAGGGACTGCCTCTCCTCACATGAACCATTCTTCCCTCTGCATTCTTCATCTAAGGCCCTTCTCCATATGCCCCCTCCAAGGGAGGTGTGGAGGGTGGCAACAAGAGAAAGGGCCTTTTTAGTGGTGGCTCCCCCTTTATGGAATGTTCTCTCCAGGGAGGCAAGCCTTGTGCTCTCTTTGTTCTCACATGCTGGGCAAAAACATTGTTATGCATTTGGATCTTTTTTTTTTTTTGCATTTTAAATTTTTTATTGATATTCCCATATATATACATTATATCCGTGTTTCGTACATCTCATACTTTTGGACTTCCTTCAACGTCCTTGACATTCATTCGTATTTGTTTCTTTGTAACGCATTCCAATCTTTCATATTGCCATTAATACCACCCTTCATACATTGTTTCCAATAAGCAATACTTATTAGTGCTTTACAGTGCCTCTTTAAAACCTACTAGCGTTGTATTTACTAAACATTTGTTCTCCAGATAGTCCGCAAATTTTCCCCAGTCATCTATAAATTTTTGATCCTTAATATATCTAATTTTCCCTGTTAATTTGTCTAACTCCGCATATTCCGTCAGTTTTAATCTCCACTCTGCTATCGTTGGGCCTTCTTCCTGCTTACACTTCTGCGCTACCACGATTCTGGCTGCTGTTACCGCATACTGGAAGATTTTACAATCCTTTCTTTTGATATCTTTTCCCACCATGCCTAATAAAAAAGCTTCGGGCTTCTTTACGAAGGTATAGCTTAATATCTTTTTGATTTCATTATAAACTTCATCCCAGAAGCTTTTAACCTTCCCGCATTCCCACCATAAGTGATAGAACGTCCCTTCTTTCTGTCTGCATTTCCAACATTTGTTGTCTGTTTTATACATCTTAGCTAGTTTTACGGGTGTTATATACCATCTATATAACATTTTAAACATATTTTCCCTTTGTAACACACATGCTGTAAATTTTATATTCACTCTCCACAATTTTTCCCAATTCTCTAATTGAATGTCATAGCCGAGGTCCTTTGCCCACTGAGTCATCACCGTTTTAACTTTCTCATCTTTCATGTTCCATTCTAACAATATTTTGTACATATTTGACAGATTTTTCCGATCATTATTTATTATCTCTCTCTGAAATTTCGATGCCTTTTCTTCATAGCCCCTCTCTTTCACCTCTTTTTTAAATATTTCATTTATCTGAAAGTAGCTCAGCCAATCGTATGTATATATTTTTACCTGATCGTATGATTTTACTTTCCACTTCCCTCCTTCCTTCAATACCATTTCTTCATACCTGCCCCATTTTTTCCCCATATTAACTTTCTTTACACTTATCAGCTCCACTGGGGATAACCAGTGTGGGGTTTTTGGTTCTAGTATGTTCTTGTATCTATTCCAAACTTCTATCAAAGGTCCCTTAAAGATATGGCTGCAAAATCCCTTATGCACTCTTATCTTATCCCTCCACAAGTACGCATGCCACCCAAATTTATTCTTATACCCTTCCAGATCTAATAGCTCTGTATCCTCCAACTTTATCCACTCTTTTATCCAACAAAGGCATGCGGCCTCGTAGTACAGTCTCATGTCTGGTAGGGCGAAGCCCCCTCTTTCAGTAATATCTGTTAATACCTTAAACTTAATTCTGGGCTTCTTTCCTTCCCAGACATATCTAGAAATCGCCCTTTGCCATTCTTTAAAATTTTTTGTGCCTTTTATTATGGGGATCGTTTGAAATAGAAATAACATTTTGGGGAGCACCATCATTTTGACCATGGATATTCTTCCCAGAATGATAATTTCATCCTAGCCCAAACCTCCAAATTTTTCTTGATTCCGTTCCACACCGGGATGTAATTATTTTGGTATAAATCAATATTTTTGTTGGTGAGCCAAAGTCCTAAATATTTTACCTTTTTAACTACTTCAATTTCTGTTTGTTGCTGTAATAATTCTATCTTGTCTTGATCCAGGTTTTTAACGATCATTTTTGTCTTACTCTTATTCAGTTTGAATCCTGCTAGCTTCCCAAATTCCTCCATCTCCTCCAGAATTCCCTTTATACTATCTATAGGATCTTCCACTGTTAAGACCACGTCATCAGCATATGCTTTGACTTTATATTCATTTGAGCCTAATGATATTCCCTTAATTTGTTTATTTTGCCTTATTGCATTTAATAGGACCTCCAAAACAACTATGAAGAGCAGCGGCGAAAGCGGACAGCCCTGCCTTGTCCCTTTAGATATTTTTATATCTTCTGTTATAACGTTATTTATTATCAGCTTTGCCTTCTGTTCTGTATAAATTGCCTTTATACTATTCCAGAATTCTTGACCCACTTCCATGGTTTCCAAATTTCTCAACATGAAATCCCAGGCCACATTATCGAAGGCTTTCTCCGCATCTACAAAGATTAGGCTAGCTGGTTTATCATATCTGTCCGATAAATATTCTATTATATTAATTATACTTCTTGTGTTGTTTTTTATTTGCCTTCCCGGTAGGAAGCCCGCTTGGTCCTCATGAATTATCTTTACTA